CAAGTTTCTCTGAGGTAATGTTTGAACCTCCTCCTCCTCCTCCTCCTGCTCCTCCTCCTCGGGCGCGGTGACGCACCGTGCGTCAGGCGCGCCCTTTACGCACGGCTCCGGTGTGCCGCAGGTGGACCAGACCCGCCCAGACAGTGAGGAGGTTCCCGTCCGGATCAGGCAGCAGCCCGTCAGTCTGCAGCAGAGCTCCGCGAGGACCAGGACCAGGACCAGGACCAGGACCAGGTAAGAACTCACCTGGACTTCTGCTTCGGTTTTACCCGGGTTGAACTGGACTAAACTCTGAGTTCGGTTCGGGACCGGGAGGAGTTCTGGAAGTGTTTTTAGTGTTTTGGGTTCTGACTGGACCTGGTTCAGGACCGCAGGTGATCCAGGTCTCGTGTCTCAGGTCTGAGAACTGATCTGAACTTCAGTCACTTTGTGTCAAATCTGATCAGATATTTTGCTAACACTGCCCAGGTGTGTTTATGTTTATGTTTACATGTTTACATGTTTACAGTCTAAGTAAACCTGCTGCTGACAGCTTCTGTTTAATCTGATAATCTGCAGATTAAATCAGATTAAATAAAGTTTAGCCAGTCATTAGCTTCAGGTTTATCACAGGAAGTTCTAGAAGAAGTCCAGTTGTGTCCTCTTGCCTCCCCTGGAGGATTAAGTAAAAGATTTACTTTAAACTATGCATTAAAAAAACTTCAGAACCTCATCAGGTTCTGGTTCTGGTTCTGGTTCTGGATGGATCAGTCTTATAAAATAAAATCTGCAGATGTTTGCTGTTTCCTCCTCCTGCACTTATTTAATGTTTGTCTGTTAGCAAAACATCTCCTGAACCAGTGGATTGGACTGATTCAAGATGGCCGCCACAGCTGGTTTTTAAAACCTTTATAAATACTGAGCACTGAGAGTTCACAGCTGATAAACATCATTTTATCATAAAAAAGGCAAAAAATTAATATTTTATTCTGAAGGGGAGATTATTTTATTTTGAAAAACTAACATGAATTATTCATGAAACAATTGTTGAATTGTTTTTGTTTTGTTGATGAAAAGACAAGTTCTGACTTCCTGTCAGCTAAATAATTTATGGTTTTCTTACCATAAACTTTTTAAAGTCGAAGAACTGTTCTTGTTCTCGCAGCGTTGAACTGTTCTTGTTCTTTCATTGTTAAAAAACTGTTCTTGTTCTTTCATTGTTAAAAAACTGTTCTTGTTCTTTCAGTGTTGAAGAACTGTTCTTGTTCTCACAGTGTTGAAGAACTGTTCTTGTTCTTGCAGTGCTGAAGAACTGTTCTTGTTCTTTCAGCATTGAAGAACTGTTCTTGTTCTTGCAGTGTTGAAGAACTGTTCTTGTTCTTGCAGTGTTGAAGAACTGTTCTTGTTCTTTCAGCGTTTAAGAACTGTTCTTGTTCTTTCAGCATTGAAGAACTGTTCTTGTTCTCACAGTGTTGAAGAACTGTTCTTGTTCTTGCAGTGTTGAAGAACTGTTCTTGTTCTTGCAGTGTTGAAGAACTGTTCTTGTTCTTGCAGTGTTGAAGAACTGTTCTTGTTCTTGCAGTGTTGAAGAACTGTTCTTGTTCTTGCAGTGTTGAAGAACTGTTCTTGTTCTTGCAGTGTTGAAGAACTGTTCTTGTTCTTGCAGTGTTGAAGAACTGTTCTTGTTCTTGCAGTGTTGAAGAACTGTTCTTGTTCTT